AGGTACCCACATATCACGCCGGGAATCACCTTGTACAATTACCAACAACAAATATCCTTTTTTTATCACCACACAAGTCCACAAATACGAAATTATCACTAAAAATGGCCAAGTCATATCAAGCAAGTCTTTAGGGCCAAGTCATATCAAGCACTGAAATATCACCGGTATCAAGCCACAATTTGGTATTATAAGCATAATAAGTCAAGTTTTCTACATTAGTAAGTTGGGGGAAGAGTTTCGGGCGCGGCGGAGTGACGGCGGCGCGCGAGCGAGTGAGTGAGTAGCACCAGTTGGAGGAGCAGCTCTTGGTGGCCGGTCCTGGCCCGAGGCGGGCCCCTTGCTCCAGCCCTCCTGGCCCGCCGTCCCTCACTCCTCTCCTGCATCCATCCTCATCCTCACCCTCCCTCCCCCACCCCGGGACCTCTACTGCATCCATCCTCACCCCCCGGTGTGTCTACTGCATCCATCCTCACCCCCCGGTGTGTCTACTGCATCCATCCTCACCCCCGGTGTCTCTACTGCATCCATCCTCACCCCCCGGTGTCTCTACTGCATCCATCCTCACCCCCCCGGTGTCTCTACTGCATCCATCCTCACCCCCCGGTGTCTCTACTGCAACCATCCTCACCCCCGGTGTCTCTACTGCATCCATCCTCACCCCCGGTGTCTCTACTGCATCCATCCTCACTCCCGGTGTGTCTACTGCATCCATCCTCACCCCCCGGTGTCTTTACTGCAACCATCCTCACCCCCTGGTGTGTCTACTGCATCCATCCTCACCCCCCGGTGTCTCTACTGCATCCATCCTCACCCCCGGTGTCTCTACTGCATCCATCCTCACCCCCCGTGTCTCTACTGCATCCATCCTCACCCCCGGTGTCTCTACTGCAACCATCCTCACCCCCGGTGTCTCTACTGCATCCATCCTCACCCCCGGTGTCTCTACTGCATCCATCCTCACCCCCGGTGTCTCTACTGCATCCATCCTCACCCCCCGGTGTGTCTACTGCATCCATCCTCACCCCCGGTGTCTCTACTGCATCCATCCTCACTCCCGGTGTCTCTACTGCATCCATCCTCACCCCCGGTGTCTACTGCATCCATCCTCACCCCCGGTGTCTCTACTGCATCCATCCTCACCCCCCGGTGTGTCTACTGCATCCATCCTCACCCCCGGTGTCTCTACTGCATCCATCCTCACTCCCGGTGTCTCTACTGCATCCATCCTCACCCCCGGGGCCTCTACTGCATCCATCCTCACTCCCGGTGTCTCTACTGCATCCATCCTCACCCCCGGTGTCTCTACTGCATCCATCCTCACCCCCGGGGCCTCTACTGCATCCATCCTCACCCCCGGGGCCTCTACTGCATCCATCCTCACCCCCCGGTGTCTCTACTGCATCCATCCTCACCCCCGGTGTCTCTACTGCATCCATCCTCACCCCCGGTGTCTTTACTGCAACCATCCTCACCCCCGGTGTCTCTACTGCATCCATCCTCACCCCCGGTGTGTCTACTGCATCCATCCTCACCCCCCGGTGTCTCTACTGCAACCATCCTCACTCCCAGTGTCTCTACTGCATCCATCCTCACCCCCGGTGTCTTTACTGCATCCATCCTCACCCCCTGGTGTCTACTGCATCCATCCTCACCCCCGGTGTCTCTACTGCATCCATCCTCACCCCTCCCGGTGTCTCTACTGCATCCATCCTCACCCCCGGGGCCTCTACTGCATCCATCCTCACCCCTGGGGCCTCTACTGCATCCATCCTCACCTCAAAGTCTCAACTACAACCATCCTTGCCCCCCCATACTAATGATCATTAGTATGAAGCTAAGTCATACTATGACTGGGAATAATTGCCCCCCCCCCGAAAACACTGCAGTACTGTATATTATAAAACAACGTTTACCCAGGCTAATAAAAAGAATGACAAGGCAATTTGGGGTATAATTGAAAGGAATAATAAACCACGCAGTGAAAACACAAGTATTCCTCCTATCATTTATTATAGCCCTCATACAGCCTCCATCGTTCAGAACAACATAATTTCTTCCTCTGACAAACTGAAGTGTACAAATGTAGTACAATATATCAATACAAGTGCAATTCTGGAGAGACCCCTGTGCTCCAAAATGTACGCTATATTGGACACACTATGAATAAATACTCTAGAGAAGATGCCTTATACTTGTGCAGGCGATGAGTCACAATAACGTGGCTGAAGTATGTTGACCAGACCACACACTAGAAGGTGAAGGGACGACGACGTTTCTGTCCGTCCTGGACCATTCTCAAGTCGATTGTCCAGGACGGACCAAAAAGTTGTCGTCCCTTCACCTTCTAGTGTGTGGTCTGGTCAACATGCTTTATACTTTATTTACATGAAGGAGGAATTAAGCAACGCCACTCTCGACACTACAATACCATCCTGAATTATCTGGACATCATTAAGGACAAGTCTTGAATTGTTGTGTCCAACTATATCTTTAATTATCTGAACATCATTAAGGACAAGTCCTGAATTGTTGTGTCCAACTATATCTTTAATTATCTGGACATCATTAAGGACAAGTCCTGAATTGTTGTGTACAACTATATCTTGAATTATCTGGACATCATTAAAGACAAGTCCTGAATTGTTGTGTCCAACTATATCTTGAATTATCTGGACATCATTAAGGACAAGTCTTGAATTGTTGTGTCCAACTATATCTTTAATTATCTGGACATCATTAAGGACAAGTCCTGAATTGTTGTGTCCAACTATATCTTGAATTATCTGGACATCATTAAGGACACCACGGATTGAAGGAGGCGAGGACACCTTTGATCATGCACCAGTGATCGAAGGAGGCCATGAATGCTTGAGGCCATATTTATTTGAGAACCGATACAAGTAATCAACATTTAAATTAATTCAATGTCAATTATACAATAGTTTGATGTCCCTCCTTTGATCCAAAGGAAAGATAACATGACTATTTTTTTTTTTTTTTTTTTTGAGATATATACAAGAGTTGTTACATTCTTGTACAGCCACTAGTACGCGTAGCGTTTCGGGCAAGTCCTTAATCCTATGGTCCCTGGAATACGATCCCCTGCCGCGAAGAATCGTTTTTTCATCCAAGTACACATTTTACTGTTGCGTTAAACAGAGGCTACAGTTAAGGAATTGCGCCCAGTAAATCCTCCCCGGCCAGGATACGAACCCATGACATAGCGCTCGCGGAACGCCAGGCGAGTGTCTTACCACTACACCACGGAGACTATTATCTGAAGCTAGGCCGCAGTCACCTCCACTATTTTTCATTGCTCCCTACGATTAAGGACTACTTAATTATAGGACAAGCTGAGCCCATACTTACAAATATATATTGTTTGTGCATGTAAACTTAGTATATCTGTGAACTTAGAGTCAGGAATATGTTCCCGAAGATGCCACACTGTCGACGAATGGTCAAAGAAATAAAATGGAAAGCTCAAGTGATTTCAGTGTTTCGTCACCCTCATGCTGGAAGAAGGTATTTATGTAGAATGTAAAATAGCCATAAGAAAATCAGCAATTGTAACAATTCTGTTTAATTCAATATGAATTAAAGAAAAATCGGCTTCCAAAATTACTGTAAACATTATATATATATATACACACACACATACTATAAGAGAGAATGTCTCTTTGTCCAAAATTGGAGGCAACATGTTTGTGGGATAGACTTACCCAACTTGGCAGAGGGAATGGGCTGGGGTACGGGATGGAATAGGCTGATTAAGGTCACCAGAATTCAAAAGGGAACAGTGTGCAGGGTCATACTCGGACCCCCATGACGATTTCTGGCACTACCCACCAGTTACACAGCTAAGTATTTAAAAAAAAAAAAAATTTCTTATTGTAATGTACACAATTATTCACTGACCTTGGGTAAATTAACAGAAATTTCCAGCTGTCAATAATTTGCCCATATTTGCATAAACAGATGATTCTTCCAAAGCTTCAAAGATTTCTCAAGCTACAGTCCTCTATCAGAAAAAGGGGTAACTATTCTTTTATTAGTATTTCAC